AGTCGGCGGCGGGGCCTGGAGGACGGCGGCGACGGCGGCGAGCAGCGGCGGGAACGGCGCCGACTAGTCGCGCGGGACGCAGGCGCCGGGATACGGAGCATCAAGGTAACGCAGGACAGAACCAGCGAGCCGACAGTAGGCGCGGGGCGCGGGCCCCGAAAACGAGTGTCGGAGGACGGCCGCCCGCTCGCCTGGGACGCGGACGCCGCTCCCCGGAGAAGAGGGGGCGGGGCATCCGGGTCCCGGGAGGTGGCACCTTTTGTCTGCTCGCGGCGGCCGCCCCGCCCTCTCACCCCTCTTTCCTCTCCCTCTCCCCCCCAGCTATCTGTCCCCCTTCCCCTGTGTCGGACACCTCCGCCAGGGCCCTCCTGCGCGCGCTCCCGCCCTTGTTTTGTTTGGACTTGGGGGAGGAGGGGCAGCGCTTCCCTAGCCGTGCGCCCCCCCTCTCGTGTCCCATCGCGCATGCGTTAGCGTGTGCCACCGCGCCCTATTGGCTGCGGGCTGGCACATGCGCATTGTCCTCCGCGGCTCATCGCCCGCCGCGCCCTCCTTCTTCACCCTCCCCCCCTTACTCCGTCAACGGTCTTCCAGCCGGTTCGAAAGATGCCGGCGGCGGTGACTGGCTGTGGCGGGCCCGCCCCCCGGCTTCTCCGCCCCCGCTGCCGCCATTACGGCGCTCCCAGTGGTGAGTGTGCGGAGCCGAGGCCCGCGTTCCGCCGCCATCTCCGCGCGAGCCTCGGCCCGGGCTTTGGGCCGCGCCTTCCCCACCGCTCCCGGGTTCTGACGCCTTGGCACCCCCCGTCCCGAAGCGCTGCCGCCCGCTGTTTCCCTCTTTGTCTCCCCCGCTCCGCGCCGCTCAGCCCTCTGGGGCGCCCCGCCAGCTTCGCTGCCGCTGCTGCCTTGACCGCCACGCGCTTTCGCCTTGCCTGGGCCGCGGCTTAGGGGCGGCTCGGGCCCGACGAGGGCCCGGGCGTGGGGGCACGGGCTGGGTTGTCAGGGAGGCCGGGTTGGTGAAACGAGCCCCAGACCCGAGGAGATTCCCCACCCGACCTTTCGGAGGCAGGGATTCCTGTTTCTGCCCTGCTGAAGGACTCGGGCAGTTTCTCCCGTGGCTGGTGGTGTTTCCCGGCTCCTTTGGGGTGGGGAAGGCACTGGGAGTTCGTCGGGGGCCCGAGGAGCTTGCTGTCTTCGATTTGAAGAGTCGTTTTGAAAGATGCCTTGAGTTTGTGTAATCCGATGTAGGCATGAAACTGTTACTAGCTTTAATTATTTTTAACTGCTTTTAAAAGTTTAGTGTTTCTTGTTCCCAAGTAGATGTAACATTCCTCTTTTTGTTTCTTTAGTTTAGTTTTGTTTTGTTTTTAGCCTACTAGAAATTGAGGGCTGGAAGTTGGTAGAGGAAGTATAGTGAACTCCTGCTATGTGGTAAGCCTTTTAGCTAGATTGTGACTCTCTTGAGAGAAGGGGCCTGTGTGGTTTTCCAACTTTTATACCGTAGATGAGCATCAGCTAAATGATTTAATGAAAGGTGGAAGTGGAAAAAGTAAAAGTTATCTCTGTGGCTTACTCCTGAGAGTAGGGAAAGACTAGATTGGAAGCAAGTTAAGGTATCCAGTGTATCGCTGGTGACATTAGAATGCATAAAGTTATTTTATAGGAATTAGGACATAATACTTTCCCCGAAATGCACAGTCAAACTCCTACTTAATTAAGAGGGGGAAAAAAACCTTTTTAAACAGAGGTAATAAATTAAACTAAGGTTTTGGACTTTTCCAGGTTTATTTTTCTTTCTGCCTGTACTAAACAGCTTAGTTTGGCATTTTCCTTGTTTTTGTATAACCTAACATTAAACTTAACAACTCATACACAACCGGAAACTAAAAAAGAAATCCCCAACCTCTCACAAACCCATGTTCCCAGAACCACGTAAATCACAGGTAAACAGCTCTTGTTTGGGCACTTACAAGATAAAAACTGAAGTGCTGCAGTGACAGTAGAAATGATGCCTGCAGGAACAAGTGTGGTGACCTAAAAGTGATCATTCAGAATTTCTGTAACAGAAAGCTTAGTAATAGGTAAATAGTGATGGTAAGGTGGGTGTGTTTCCCACCCATATGGTATAATCCTGTAAACTTCCAACCTTGAGTTTATCAGATAACTTATTGAAACTTTACTAAGGAAATTCAGAGCCAAAGTAAGAATTTCTCAGGATCTCAAATACTATGGTGTGTTACTTTGGAAGGGGGAAAAAGGGGTGAGATAGAGTTCTTGCTGTGTCTTGAACTCCAGTGATACTTCTGCCTCAGTTTCCTTAAGTAGCTGGGACTATAGGCATGTACCACAAATGCCTCATAAGTTCTATCAGGTGTCACTGTTCACTTGACTTTTTTCCTAGTGAATATGGAGTACTCCCTGTATGTTGGACATCATGTGGGTACAGCAGTGGGTTAAATTCTTGGTGCATGCTGAGCTTACATTCCATTGAGAGAGAAAGTAATGTTTAAGGAAACCTAAAAAGAAGCTAGGAGGCCTTTCTGAGGCGATAATTGTGCAGAGGGTAGGTATAAGCAGAAATGTTCTAGTCTGAGAGGACAGGGTGCAAACACCCTGGACTAGAATGAACTGATCACATTGCAGGGACCAAAAGATGGTATACATGTTTGGACTCAAGAATATAGTGAGAGAGGTAGTTTGTAGGAATTGAGGTTCATGAAGAAGTTAGTATATGAGGTTTTAGGTGAGCGATGTCTGGATCCATTTGTTTGGTGGATACAGCAGAAGATCGATGGCCCAACTTATTTTATCATGATTCCAATCTGAGAAATACTTTTTAATTTGTTTTTTTGTATGTGTATGTCTGCATCAGTCCTGGGGCTTGAGCTCAAGGCCTGAGTGTTTGTCCCTGAGCTTTTATGCTCAAGGCCTAGCACTCTACTACCATTTGAGCCACAGCTCCGCCTCCAGATATTTAATGTTTAATTGGAGATGAGAGTCTCAAGGATTTCCCTGCCCTGGCTGAGTTTGGATTGCTATGTTCAGATCTCAGCCCCCTGAGTAGCTAGGATGTACGGGCATGAGGAAATGGCACCCAGCATCTATGTCTATATGAACTGATAGTCGCCCTGATTTTAATTTTTAGGTTTTTTTTTCTCACTTTGATGTTAGCAGTTGCTTCCTATATCTCATACCTGTAATCCTAGCTACTCAGGAGGCTGAGATCTGAGGATCACAGTTCAAAGCCAGCCTGGGCAAGAAAGTCTGTGAAACTCTTATCTCCAATAAACCACAGAAAACTGGAAGTGGCGCTGTAGCTCAAGTGGTGGAGTGCTCGCCTTGAGCTAAAGAGCTGAGGCACAGCGACCAGGCCCAGAGTTTCAAGCCTCACTACCAAAAAACAAAAATAAATCTGTTTATTAGTGATGGATGAGTACAGACTTGACTGGAAAGGGTTTGACAGTTTTTTCTGTATTTGTTGACAAGGATTTTTTTTTTTGGTGGAGGGGGGGGGTCCGGTCATGGGGCCTGAACTCTGGGCCTGGGCGCTCTCCCTCAGCTCAAGGCTAGGGCTCTACCACTTGAACCACAGCGCCACTCCGACTTTTTTCTTTCTGCTTATGTGGTGCTGAGGAATCAAACCCAGGGCCTCAGGCATGCAAGGCAAGTGCTCTACCACTGAGCCACCTTCCCAGCCCGGATTTTTTTTTTTTTTAAGATACCTTTGAGTTGGTTGCCTATATTCTAGTTATTCAGGAAGCTGAAATCTGAGGATCATGGTTTGGAGCCAGCCCAGACAGGAAAGTCTGTGAGACTGTCTCCAATTAAACACCAAAAAAAAAAAAAAAAAACCCAGAAATGGAGCTGTGGCTCAAGTGGTAAATCACTAGCCTTGAACACAAAAGCTCAGGGAAAGTGCTGGGGCTCAGAGTTCAAGCCCAGGACCAGCCCAAAAACAAAAAAATTAAGATACCTTTGATCAGGGAAATTTAGCCTACTTAACTAGTGTTATCATATGATTGTTTCACTTTTTCATAGTATTTGTATAACATACCAGATTTACATAGTTTTCATTATTTTTATTATGAAAATTTAAGTGGGCACCAGTTGCTCATGCCCCTAATCCTAGCTACTTGGGAGGCTGCAATTGGGAGGATATCCACCCTAGGGGAAAAGTTTGCAGGACCCTTCTCAATCCAGAGTTGTGCACAGTGGTACATGCCTGTTATCCTACTATGAAAAGCCTAAAACAGGCAAGTTACAGCCTAGGAATGAGCAGGAAGTGAGACTCTTACCTGCTTAGCTAGTGCAAGGCCTTAGTTGTATGTGTGTAAATTATCCCAAGATTGGTTTTTGTTTTTGTTTTTTTGGGTCCAGTCATGAGGCTTGAACTCTGGGCCTGGGTACTGCCCGTCAGCTCTTCAGCTCAAGGCTAGCGCTCTACCACTTGAGCCACAGCCCCACTTCCGGCTTTTTTCCTTTTTTTTTTTTTTGCTTATGTGGTGCTGAGGAATTTAACCCAGGGCCTCATGCATGCAAGGCAAGTGCTCTACCACTGAGCCACCTTCCCAGCCCCCCAAGGTAGATTTTTAACTTTTTTTTAAAACTTTTTTTTTTTTTTTTGCCAGTCCTGGGGCTTGAACCAGGGCCTGGTCACTGTCACTGAGCCTCTCTGTGTTCAAGTCTAGTGCCCTACTACTCCAGCCACAGCACCACTTCCGGCTTTTTCTGTTTATGTGGTACTGAGGAATTGAACCCAGAGTTTCATGCATGCCAAGCAAGTGCTGTACCACTAAGCCACATTCCCAGCCCCAGGTTTTTAACTTTTGTAAACCTAAATAAGGCCCTTAAACCGTCTTAGCCCTCATCACAGATAAGAAAACAAGCTCATTTCTGGGGTCTTGTTTGTTTTAAGTTTGATTTTTGAGGATTTTACTATGCAGCCCCAGGCTGGCCTCCCAACTCATCATCTGAAAGTTTCGCAATAGGGATTTACATATGCTGTGCCACCATGCATGGCTCATTTCTATATTTTGTAATTTTTTAGGTGAATTGTAAAATGAACATGTTACATAGTTTTGAGCAACTTTGTGTTTGTAGTGCTGTGATTCAATCCAGGCCCCAGTGCTTAGGCAAATGCTCTGCCACTAAGTTACATTTTCAGCTCCTATAACAGTTAATTACAAATATTTGTACATACTTCTAATTGAGTAGTGTTAGTAAATTTTACTTCATTATACTGTCTTAAATTATTTGTTTTGCTTTTCCTTGCAGCTAGTTGACAGTTGGAAGCATTCTTTGTGTTGAAATGTTTTTTTATATAATTTTGTTATTATCAAAGTGTGGTACAGAAGGGTTATCATTTCATAAGTTAGGTAATCAATACATTTCTTACCATTTGCTTTTCCCATCCCTGCCCACAGAGTTCATTCTCTACATGGTGTATACTGAATACCATGATTGTGTTTGTTTACCCTTCCTCCCTCCCTTTCTGCATCCTCTTAGCCCCCCTAAAAAGACAGGGGAAAAAAAGCCCAAAGCAAAAACAAATATCACCACCACCAACAGCAGCAACCACAACAACAAAAACCTTTACTTAGTTCATTTTAGGTTTGGATTCAGTTACTTGACAATCTAAAAACTCTTAAATTCCTAGATAGTGTTAATTTTCTTTTTGTTTTGTATTTTAGCATTATGAGGTTTGAGCTCTTGACCTTAAGTTTGCTAGAAAGGTGCTTGAATCATGTCTTTTTTTGTCTTATTCTTCAGATAGGGTCTTATTTCTGCTCAGGGCTGGCCTTAGATGAACCGTGGCGTAGCTGGCCTCCACACCTGGCTTGTTTTTGTTTTTTGTTTTTTTAAACTTCTGGGATTTGAACAGTGAAATCCTATCTAGTAAGTAGGTGCTCTACCATTTGAGCCACCTAGTTTTGTTCCTTGATTGATTTGAGATAGGGTTTCACTTTTTTTTTTTTTTGGCTGTCCTAAATCCTGTCTCCACCTCCTCCCATTTCCATCTCAGGCTAGCCAAGAATTACGGGAGCAGATGAAATTTTTGAGGGGAAAGCAGTATTAATGATCAGTAAGGCAGGTTTGATTGACTGTGGGTTTTATCTATGACTATTTTATTTTTACTTACATTAAAAATACAACAAATTGGGGGCTGGGAAGGTGGCTCAGTAGTAGAGCGCTTGTCTTGCATGCATGAGGCCCTGAGTTCAATTCCTCAGCACCACATAAGCAAAAAGAAAAAAGCCGAAAGTGGTGCTGTGTCTTAAGTGATAGAGCGCTAGCCTTGAGCTGAAGAGCTGAGGGACAGTGCCCAGGCCCAGAGTTCAGGCCCCACAACCGGACCCAAAAAACAACAGCAACAACAAATTAGGTTTTCAAGGTATATTTCTATTCTCCTTTGACTCTCTAAAAGCCTCTGGTTTGAAAGGCTCTTAGAAAGTTCTTCAGCAGTATTTTGAGTCCTTGTGTTTTCCCTTAATAGAGAAAAGGATTATTTATCTACTTATTTATTTAATGACCCCTTTGAGTAATAAAAACATTGTCTAATAAACTGACCCTTGAACCAACATTTGACTAAACTGTTCCCTAGTCTTTCTAAGCCCCTGATGATAATAGGAGGGGATAGAGCTTGGTTCCTTATGAGCTTTCTTGTCTTCGTTGCCTTTGTTCATGTGGACGTTGCAACAGCTGCTGTGGCTTACGCATTTGTCTCAGTCACTGCTTTACATACTATATTTTGATGGTGGTTTTTTTCTTTTTGAGTAACTAAATCACCTGTCACCTAACTGTAAGTTTTAATTCCCCCCTCCCTTTGGATGTATATTAAATTTAGACAGTTTAGTTTTGTTTAGACAGGTTAGTTTTGTTTCTGTTAATCTTCACACCGGGTCTTTTCTGTGCTTTAGGTTGACTCTTCACCACACTGAAACCATTAGGAAAAATCCTTGTGGTTAACAGCAGAGGCTTCAGAGTGTGTAACCTGTATTCAGGCCTAGAAATTATTTTAAATGGCGACTGATACGTCTCAAGGTGAACTCGTCCATCCTAAGGCACTCCCACTTATAGTAGGAGCTCAGCTGATCCACGCGGACAAGTTAGGTGAGGTAGGGGCTGACACATTCTTGAAGCTCACTCTTGGATCAACCCCTGACTTCAGGCTCTGCTGGGTTCTTCTTGGTACATGTTCCCTCCCCCACCTTCAGGGAGAGTACAGTGGTGACTGAAAAATCAAATAGATACAAAGTTCTTTTCATCTTCCCCTTTCCCACAAATTCCTAAAGGAATTGCCAACCTTCTAAATGTATTCCAAGCCAAGAATAATCATTTCCATATAAAATTCTATCTGAAATAAAATACTTTGAAGCATATTTCATTAAAAAAAAAACTTTGAAAAGTAATTTGTATCAGATCCTGGAGTTGACTTGAAGAATTCTCCTACATCTTTTGACACCCAGTTAGGTCCCTTGAGAAAGAGAAAACATTTTTAGTGCATGTTTGATTTTGGCCATCTCTTTTCTTAGAAGGTAGAAGATAACACCATGCCAATTCGACGGGCTGTGAATTCTACCCGGGAGACTCCACCCAAAAGCAAACCTGTTGAAGGAGAGGAAGAAAAGCCAGGTAGTGTAAAGCAGGCACAACTAAAGAAGGCAAAATATTTACTCTTTTATTTGAAGTATTCCATCAATCTTTGAATTTCATTGCAGTTTTTCCTCAGTGCTGAGTGTTATGGGGGAACTTTTAAAGAAAGAAGCTGTAAGATTGCATTTTCTCTCTTACTCGTTCTTGGAAGGTGAAGTATAACGTTCTTAGTATTGAAAATGAGCATCTTTGTCTAAAGTCATTGAGTTAGAAATTAGCTGGGCGCCAGTGGCTCATACCTGTAATCCTAGCTACTCAGGAGGCTGAGATCTGAGGATCAGGGTTCAAAGCCAGCCCGGGCAGGAAAGTCCATGAAACTTATCTCCAATAAATCACCAGAAAACCAGAAGTGGCGCTGGGGCTCAAGTGGTAGAGTGCTTGCCTTCAGCTGAAGAGCTGAGGGACAGCACCCAGGCCCAGAGTTCAAGCCCCACGACCAACACAAAACAAAAAAGAATGAAAGAGGTGTGAGGAAGAAATTTAGTGGACAGTACACACATACACATCCCTCCCCCCACCTCACCTCAAGAAAGAGAAGAAAATTATTCAAAGTAATTTGTTGTTCGTTTTATTTTTGTGCTAGTCCTGAGGCTTAAATTCAATGCCTGGGTACTCTCTGTGATGTTTTGTTCTCAAGACTAGAGTTCTGCCACTTGAGCCACAACCCCATTTCTGAGTTCCGAGGATTACAGGCATGAGCCACAGTGTCCAGCTGCTGTTCGTTTTAGAATTCACCTGTTAAGCAAAACACTGACCTTTTCTTGACTAGGAGAGTGCTTCTAATATATCTACTTGATACAGTTCTCACCTGATTGTTTAGAACCAGATGTCAGTTCAGAGGAATCTGTCTCCACTGTAGAAGAACCAGAGAATGAAACTCCACCTGCTACGTCTAGTGAGACAGAACAGCCCAAGGGGGAGCCTGAGAAGGAAGAAAAGGAAGAAAACAAGTCTTCTGAGGAAACCAAAAAGGAGTAAGGAATTGTGCCTTCTTGGTATTTATAGATAAGACTGTAAAAGTACAGTAGATCAGACTATATCACAGTATTGCTATATGCTAGATACGTGCTGTTTGGATAAGCTTTTCAGAATTATCAGTTGAAATGGTTTTATGTAGTTACATGGCACTTAGAATTTGCAGTAGTTAGCAGAGCCATGCTTTGAGTAATTAATTATCCTTTCCTATCTGCCTTGGAGTATGTGTTTGTGTATAGAATCCATTGTGCAAATGTTGAATATTTTAAGCATTGTCAACGACTTAGAAATGAGGGGCTGAGAAGGTAGCTTAGTAGTAGAGTGCTTGCCTTGCATGCATGAGCTCCTGGGTTTGATTTCTCAGCACCACATAAGCAGAAAAAGCCAGAAATGGCACTGTGGTAGCGCGCTTGCCTTGAGTGGAAAAAGCTCAGGGAGCTACGCACTGGTGGCTCATGTCTGTGATCCTGGCTATTCAGGAGGCTGAGATCTGAGGATCGTGGTTCAGAAACTTAAGAATGAAAGACAACTATTAAAATCTGATGTAAAAGATATGTCATTTTATCCCTGTCTCTGTGCTAGGAATGACTTATTTTTGTTGTGCTTATGTAGAAGCATCACAGCAAGCCATTATTAAGAGTGACTTGTAAACCTCTGTGTACTCAATCAAGTTTTCAATTGAAGGTGGTTCAGAGCAACTAAAGGCAAAATTTACAGTCAGTCATCTGTATCTATAAGAAGTGATCCAATCTGTTTGAATTTTTTATTTATTTTACATGATAGCTTATAGTGTTTGGTGTGTTACTTTCACATTTGTTCATGAAAGTTAGAAATTTTTAAATAAAACAGGAATAGCTGTAGCTTGTATATGTTATCCTCAGGGAACCCTATATTGTGTTTCATAGGCAGAAGTAAGGTCTGGGATTTTTTAGCAGCTATGCTATGTTTTAAAGTGTTATGGTACACATTTTAGATTTACTGTTAGATCTGTGATTACTTAGAATAAAGTAATGGTCTTACTTATAAATTGTTTGAATATGCATAATCTCGTAGTAGTAGTTAGTATTACAATAATTTTACACCTGCGGTGACCGAGACATTATTACTTGCTAATGTGAATGAATCAGGTAGCTAGTACTAGGTGTTACAGCTAAAACACAAACCTTGAATTCTGTCTACTACCATAGATTGCTTGCAATACTCAATACAGTGTACATGCTTTGTAAAAAGTTGCTGTACTGTATGGTTCAGTGAATAACGGCAAAAGAACTCTGTATTTGTTCAGTATAGATGCATTTTTTTCTCAAATATTTATAATTTCTCATTTTAGAATCCCCAAATTTGAAACCTGTGGGCATAGAACGTAGACTGTACCTTTTTCTTGAGTTTCATCTTGTTTAATAAAAGTTATTTGTTTTAAAGTGAGAAAGATCAGCCCAAAGAAAAGGAGAAGAAAGTGAAAAAAACAATACCTTCCTGGGCCACCCTTTCTGCCAGCCAGTTAGCCAGGGCCCAGAAACAAACCCCAATGGCTTCTTCTCCACGTCCGAAGATGGATGCAATCCTAACTGAGGCTATTAAGGCAAGTTTTCATTTGAAAGGGGTCATCTTAGATTAGTCCTATTCACTTAAAAATGGTATATTTTGTTCAGACATCAGCAGAGCAAATCTTGCTTTGCTTCCTAAAGGAGACTTAAATAGATGAAAACCACAAGAGATGCATGTTTTTCTAATATAATTACATTTGATGAACAATGTTGTTTTTTTCAGAAATCATTTACTATTAATAATTATTTTCAATTTATCTTTAGAAAAAATTTAAAATTACTTTAAACTAGCTTTACAAATATTACAGTATATTCCAATCAACAGAAAAATTTTAACTCAATTTGTTGATTAAGTATAGTTTTTGAAGGCTAAAAATTTTAATTCTTTCAACAAATACTTATGGACTACTTTTCTCTCAGTCAACCAGAGACTTAAAGCAAGGTCTTTCCTCTTACAAAATCGAATTGTTACTAGAGAACAAAATAACATTAAGTATATTTGTTTAAAAGTAATATCTTCAGTGCCATTTGTACTGAGCCTCTTGATATTTATAAACCTTACTGTTCATACCTAAACTAAGAAACTCTCTTCTAAGTGCACTATTTTGCTCATCCTGTCTCTTCCAAAATAATAAATTTACCTTCCTTATATGGCTTTCATTAGCTTATGTTGTCATACATGTTAGTTTTTTTTAAAAAAATTTTAAGGCTTGGGACTGGGAAGGTGGCTCAGTGATAGAATGCTTGCTTCGCATGCTTGAGGCCCTGGGCTCGATTCTTCTGCACCACATAACCAGAAAAAAGCCGAAAGTGGCACTGTGGCTCAAGTACTAGAGTGCTAGCCTTGAGCTGAAGAGCTGAGGGAAAACGCGCAGGCCCAGAGTTCAGGCCCCAGAACCGTCCCCTCCCCCCCCCCAAAAAAATTAAGGCTACCTTCAAATCTGTTACCACCTTTATTATTTAATACGCATCTTAGTACCCCCTACCCCATCTTCCTCCAGACAAGCATTTTACCACAGAACTCATTCCCAGCCCAAATCTTTCCATTTAATTTGCGTTATTTCACCTGATCAATTGATAAGAGGAATTAAAATAGATCCTTCATTTTGGGACCCTTCTGAGTCAGGATTGGGGACAGATATTCAAATAATTTTAACCAAGAGTGGTATGCATAGGAAGGAGCAGCCTGGTTGTAATTTCAGATTCAAGAAGAGAGCACTTTCACGTGAACTGTCAGAGAATTCCTTCAGACCTCTTCATTCCTTCAAGGCTCATAGGCTCTCACTTAATTAAGAAAACTTTTCTTCCTGTAGTAGCTTTCTTGAGATCTTAAGATCTCTGTTCTTTGTGTAGCCTCTCTTCAAGGATTATACTTCATGTCTACTCAGCCTTGGTTTGAAGGAACATTGTTATGGTGAACATAAAGAAGGATCTAAAATTTTAAAATAGTGAAACAAATGTGCCTATGCAGAATAAGATTTTTGTGCATCTATGTATGTATACACATAATTGTATGTACCTATGTATATATTCCATAAGTATTATAAATGATTATTTTAGAGCACTGATAGTGTTTTATATGTCAAACAGGAGTCCTCATACCTACTCCCATGTCTGTCAGTTTGGTGGAACAAAAGATTGATTATTTTAGCTTTACAGAGTTCTTTTTTGCTTAATTTTCTTGGCTTAGTGTTTTCTTACAGGATCAGGAATAAATAATAGATTATTAATAGTTCAAAGATAATTAGTGAATTTACTGACCTATATTAACACGATTTATTTTTTATTTTATTTTTTTGTCAGTCGTGGGGCTTGAACTCTGGGCCTGGGCGCTGTCCTTCAGCTCTTCAGCTCAAGGCGAGCGCTCTACCACTTGAGCTACAGCGCCACTTCCAGTTTTCTGGTGGTTTATTGGAGATAAGAGTCTCAAGGTCTCTCCTGCCCGGGCTGGCTTTGAACCCTGATCCTCAGATCTCAGCCTCCTGAGTAGCTAGGATTACAGGCGTGAGCCGCCAGCGCCCGGCTTATTAACACGATTTATATAGTACTATCTTTTCTGGTCCATCTACTCTGAAAGCTTAAAATTAGTCATTCTTCATTATTGTAAATATGCATAAAAGAGCATTCAACTAAGTTTATTAAATGAGAACAGGTAACTGCTAAGTTTAGTTTGCAGATGATAATGGGTAACCATGAAATAACTAACAGGTGCTACTTTTCTGTGCTTCAAATTTTAAAGCATGTAAGAACAAACATTTGCTGCTTTTAGACATAATGAGATACTTAATTCTTCTGTGGACATTAGTAGATAAGATGGAAATGGAAAAAGTGCATTAAATTCCAATAGAACGCCTCAATTTTTACTCAAAACCTCCCCTTAAAATTTTACCAACTGAGCTGGGTACTGGTGGCTCACGCATGTAATCCTAGTTTCTCAGAAGGCTGAGATCTGAGGGTCATTATTTAAAACCAGCCTGGGAAGGAAAGTCCAAGAGACTCTTATATCCAATTACCCATCAGAAAAGTAGGACTGTGGCTCAAAGTGGTATCACTACCCTTGAACAAAAACTAGCTCAGGGATAACACCTAGGCCCTGAGTTCAAGCCCCACAACCAATTAAAAAAAAAATTAGCCGGGCATCAGTGGCTCACATCTGTAATCCTACTCAAGAGGCTGAGATCTGAGGATCATGGTTCAAAGCCAGCCCAGGCAGAAAAGCCCATGAGACTCTTATCTCCAACAAACCACTCAGAAAACCAGAAGTGGCGCTGTAACTCCAGTGGTAGAGTGCTTGCCTTGAGCTGAAGATTGAGGGTTAGCACCTAGGCCGAATTCAAGTACCACAACTAACAACAACAACAACAAAAATTATACCAACTGCTGCAGTGTGGCTCATGGTAAAACACCTGCTTAGCAAGGGTGAGGTCCTGAGTTTAAAGCCTAGCACTGCCCCCCCCCAAGGTTTTACCAACTGTGCCATCTGTAAACCCAGCTTTATTTTTTTTGTTCAGACTATGTTTTCTGCTAACACTTATGGGAAACCTGCAGAAGAATTGTTACAGTGTGGCAAAATTCTCTCTTCATAAAATAGGCTAGACAGATAATCTTGTAAATGATAGAATGCTCTGTGCTACCCTCATTTTGATGCTAAAGATCTATGTTTTAAGTTAGATGCTATGATTGATACCTCTAATCCTAGGATTACAGATGGCTGATATCTTAAGAGCAAGGTTTTGAGCCAGCCCAGGCAGAAAAGTTTTTTTTTTTTTGATCATGGGGCTTGAACTCAGGGTCTGGGTGTTGTCCTTGAGTTTTTTTGCTCAAAGCTAGCACTCTACCACTTTGAGCTACAGCTCCACTTCCAGTTTTCAGATAGTTAACTGGACATAAGTATCTCATGGACTTTCCTGCCAGAGCTGATTTTGAATCATAATCCTCAGATCTCAGCCTTCTGAGTAGCTAGATTTATAGGTGTGAGCCAGCACCCAGCACTAGGAGACTCTTATCTCCAACTAACCAGACAAGCAAAACTAGAGGCATGGCTTAAGTGGTAGAGTGTCAGCCATGAGCAATAAAGCCAAGGGATAGCATAAAGCCCCAAGTTCAGGCCCAGTTACCAACACACACACACACACACACACACACACACACACACACACACACACACACATACCACTCATTGTAGAAATAGTTCATAATTATATACTTCTTCAAAGCCAGTGTAAACTTAGGTGGACTGAAATACTGTTCATTCTTCCTTAACCATGTTAATCTGTTATCATCTCCAAAATAACATAGAGTATGTGTCAAGTTCTCTAATAGAAAATAAGTAATATATATGGCTTGATAAATCTGTTTTCTAGGCATGCTTCCAGAAGACTGGTGCATCAGTGGTTGCTATTCGAAAATATATCATCCATAAATATCCTTCTCTGGAACTAGAGAGAAGAGGCTATCTCCTTAAGCAAGCACTAAAAAGAGAATTAAATAGAGGAGTCATCAAACAGGTACCACACAGCTGTTAGAAATAAGTTTATTTCATATAGCACCTATGCTTGGTCCATTTTTAGTAATATTAGGCTCTGTATGTATTTTGTTGTTGTTTTTGTTGTTACCAACAAAGGTACATGGTATCACAGTACTCCAGATAATAGCCAGATTTCAAAAATACTGGTGTCAGTTGTATTTATAATTCATGTATCTTCTAAGGAGCTGAAGCAATAAGATAGTGTTGATTTTTTTACTCCAGCTTATTGTACTCTTACTTGGATTTTCTACAGGGCCTACTCAGGCTTGAAATTGTGTAGCATTGAAAATGAGTAGTAGTGTTAAGACAATCCTATTACTGTAATAGCCAGAAAGAATAATTGCTTTTGTCTTAGGTTTATAAATATTAAAACTTAACTTACACAACTAGACTTGTTATTTCTCAGCCTTGTAAATAGTTTCATCCTGATAAGGAGCATCAAAGAAACCTGAATGCATTGACACCCTAGAACCAATATTGAGCTTGGCATAATCTGTGTTACCTTACACAGTTCATAGTTCAGTCAGAATCAGAGAATTCTAGGGCAGGGGTATAGCACAGTGGTAAAAATCTTGGTCTACCCTTTCTGCAGCCAGCTACCACTGTAGCCAGGACTCTGGCCCTAATTAGTGTAGAATTTTATGCCACTCAGGCATTTAAACTGCTTATATGGAATGTATGGCTCAAGTGGTAGAGTGCCTAGCCAAGGACAAGGCCCTGAGTTCAACATCCCAGTATCACCAAAAATAAGAAAAATTCTGTTAAGGAACTTTCAGTAAATACTTAATTTCAAAAGTAAATATTGAGCCTCTCTTATATCAGGTACTATGAGAGATTCAGCAGTGAATAAACCATATCCCCTTCTGTCTTTTGGTTAAGGATTTTCAAAATGTAAAGATGATATTTAAATAGTCTTGCCAGACGCCGGTGGCTCACGCCTGTTGTAAGCTACTCAGGAGGCTGAGATCTGAGAATTGTGGTTCAAAGCCAGCCTGGGCAGGAAAGTCCATGAGACTCTTATCTCCATTTAATCACCTGAAAACTGGAAGTGGTGCTATGGCTCAAGTGGTAGAGCATTTGCCTTGGGTTGAAGAACTCAGGGGAAATTGCTTAGGCCCCAGAGTTCAAGCCCCATGACTTAAATAGTCTTTAAAATTATCATTCATTAATAGGTCTACCCAATATGAAAACCAAAGATGACATACCCCTCCCATGTCCTAAGTGCATATCAGCACAGCCTCTAGGCTACATTTCTGCTTTGCCTCCATAGACTTGCCCTTGTTTCCATGCTTAAACAATTAATGTGCTAAAAGTATTTCATATTGATTATTAATTGGTAACATTTATCCAAGTAAAACTGATATTTATGGATCAACTTTTAAAGTTCTAAGAAAGTGTTTTCACCTTGCCCATGTAATTGTAACCCCTCTGTATGGTATTTTCACAATTAAAAAAAAAAGAAAGTGTTTTCATATGTGGAATACATGGTACAACATGCCATTATGTGTGGTGTCTAAAAAATTATTATATAACTTTAGCATAAGAAATAAACTATAATTATAAAACTAAGTGATGGCCTGAGACCACATAGTGTCTAAACTTGCCAAGGAGTTGTCTCTTCATGAGACTTTTGTCCCATCACTTCTGCAGGACATTTTTTGTGATTTTATTTTTTTGTAGGTTTTTGTTTTCTTTTAGACTCAACCTAGTATCACTGTGGCATTCATCCCCAATTCTGAATTTGTAGAAATGAAAACTCAAAAGGGTTAACCGAATTGTTTAGTATTGAGTAATTAGATGGTATCATGGCTAGGATCACATCCTGTCTTTGGTTCCTATTCTTTTTTTCTCTGAACACTTAAACAGCTCTTGTGTGATACTGTATAATTCCCTTAGTCTTAGCAGAAAACTATAAGCATGAATACTGGAATGATTTAAATAAAACTTAATTCACTTTAGGTAAAAGGAAAAGGTGCATCTGGAAGTTTTGTTGTGGTCCAGAAATCAAGAAAAACACCTCAGAAGTCTAGAAACAGAAAGGTAAGAAGTCTCTACTAAAGTTTGAGCACTAAAATACTATTACTACTTTTGAAAACAGCAACCTTTATTGAGTGGCTTCTGAGTGCCTAGCACAATGCAAAGTGTAGCCTTTCTTTCAAGTCTACAGAGCTAATGAAGAGAATAGCTAGTGTGCAAGCCCAGTATTCTAATCCAGTTAAGTGCCTGGTGTTGAATTTATACGCAGCTATATAAATTATACTTTTTCATGAAATATGTGTGGTTGTGGGGATTGAACTCTGGGCCTGGGTACTGTCCCTCAGCTCTTCATCTTGAGGCTAACACTTGAGCCACAGAGCCACTTCTGGTTTTCTGGGGTTTATTGGAGATAAGAGTCTCACGGACTTTCGTGCCTGGCCTGGCTTTGAACCTCAATCCTCAGATCTCTGCCTCCTGAGTAGCTAGGATTACAGGCATGAGCCCCTGGCACTCATCTTGAAGAACAATTCTTAATAGATCCCCAAACTATGCTCCGAACCAACTTTTATTCTCATTTTTGTAAATACTAATACCTTCTCAGAATACAATTTCTAAAGTATTGTTACAACAATAAAGTGGAGTACTTAGTATTTTATTTGTCAATAATTAAAATAATGGTAATTCTTCTGTAACTTTGTTTTTACCAAAAACTGAACATTTTCTTTCTTTCTTTCTTTTTTTTTTTTTTTTGTCGATCATGGGTCTTGAACTCTGGGCCTGAAAGCTGTCCCTGAGCTCTTCAGCTCAAGGCTAGTGCTCTAGCACTTGAACCACAACA